GAGCGAACTGTGAAAATGCTTTGCGCCCAGGTGAGCTGAAAGTATCTGAGAATAAGTTTCACTAAGGACCGCTCGTCCTACGATTATTTCTGTCTCCAAAGTCAGGGGCAGAACAGGAACGGAAAATACCTGTGCAAATTCCAAGACACAAAGTAAACGCGTTTCCTCCTGTTTGTCTGTGAACTACGGGAATGGACCTGTGTCGTCGGCACCTCTGTTATTGTCACGTCTAACGGCGACAATTGTTATGTATTTACGAAGGGGCGTATCTTGCCCTAATATCATGATAATCGCACAACTCTTAAGGCCAGCTAATAGGACTGAGAGTAATTGAATTGCGCCCGCTAACGGAGAACTGCTTTACCTTATGACACATTATTTACCGCAAAAGGATATTGCCAAATAGTCTTAAAGCGTTCACTGGACTAAGAGCGCTACATTAAAGGGAAAGTGGTCAAATTTGACTCATCAGCGACTTAAAGCTTGTGTCTCTTAGTGCATTAAATAACGCCGAGATAGAGTTGTCAGGCATACATTATTTATCAGGACAATGAGCAGAGTCGATCTACTCATGTCCGTCCATCTGAGAGTCCGTCCGAACGCTGCGATCTCGCAAAACACAAAATCTGGAGTCTTGAAATCTTAAATATATAATTCTGCATACCATGCATTCTGCATACCATAAATTCGATTTTTTATTTTCGACAAAAACCGATAATTTTTTTTTTTTTTTTTTTTTTTTTTAATTTTATTTAGTTGCAGCGTATTGTCTTAGACTCTATAGCGCATTTAGCTCTAAACCTTAACTAATGGGAGGGCAGATATGCCAATTATTCTGCACTTATTGCTACTATCTTAACTAGTTCTAATATTATCTAGAGGATGCAATCTTTTAAGTCTTCGCCTATTGTTGTTTATAGCTAGGTTGCTTGCGAGATGGTTAGGATGCGCTGCAAGTCTGTCCGCGTATCTTGAACTGTGTCGCCCAATGAGTTCAGCAACTGTGGGAATTGCTAAATCCCTATGTAAGACTGAGTTTCTTACAAACCAGCTGGCTCCAGTCCATCTGCGTAGCGCTTTGTTCTGTAGGATCTGAATTTTGTTCCTTGAAGTCTTCGCCGAGGAGCCCCATAGTGAGATACCATATACGAGGGTTGGGACAACTATTGCCTTGTAGATGGCGGCCTTGCTGCTGTAAGACATTATTATAATTAGATTTAATATATTATAATTAGATTTAAATTATGCTCATGCTCTCAGTATCACAAAAGAGAAAAACGTCAAATTTACTGTGGATGCTTCTCTAGTGAATACACGTATTTGGTATATTTCGCATTTCAGATACCTTTTGAAATAATAAAAAATTGTGTACGTCTCTGGAGGTCTTTAATAAGCCCAGAAAATGTTATTAAGAAAGTGCATTTAGAGCAAAAGTTATTAATTTGCCATGGTACAGCCCTAACTTCAGCCAAAGCGCAGTAGCGTGTGTGGTGTGTGTGTGTGCATGTATTGTTTGTTTTTTATATAGTAAAGAAGAGTAGAATACTTGAACTTACTTGTACTTTTAGGCAAAGCTCGAAATTATTTTCAAAAATATTCAGCCATTGTCTGGGGCTGAATGAAATCTTTCTTTGGCTGGTGGCACAACCTTTACGTCTCCTTTTTTATGTATGAAGCATTTTGTTAGTACTTAGCAATCCAACTCATCTGGAATCCAGTGCAAAAAGCTGGACCCACAATTTTGATGCTGAACTGTAACAAGGCTTTCCTCGGCTACTCTGCTGCTGTGGCTGCGGTTGTCTTCATGTCTAATTTAGCGACATTTTATTGTAGTTTTCACCGCAATCGCTTTCCATTGTTGAAATACAATTTTCTTGTCGCATTTTAGTCAAGTTATTTTATCTTATTGTAGTTGGCCGCAAAATGTTTTTGGTCGAGCATTGCTCGCCGCCTAAAAGCAGGCAACATGCACAGACTACTCTTCTTCTTCCCTGGTCTCTGCCTCGTTCAGTGTTGTCTGTCGTTTGCACATTTTGGTAAATTTTGTGTGTACTTTGCGGACACACTTGGTGAACTCGCGAGGACATGAGTGTGGGCGAGGCCTGCTCTGTGCCTTGGTCCCCTCCCAGCCGCATAACTCAGGCCCTGCGGCACCGACAGCGACTGTGGGTTTGTATGCACTTCTTTCATGAGGTCTGCTAAGATAGTGCAAGAATTATTGGCAAGCAATGCGGCTGCTGCGAGTGGCTTCTACATAATTCCGTATGAGTGCCGCATATGTTTTATTAAAATGAGCTCCGATTTCGCTTTCAATTTGCAGACAATTTTACAGCATTTGGCACAAAGCAGGAGGCAGCCATCGTCAGCTGTTGATTTCGACCTTGCTTCTTCATTATTTGTTGTTCCAGCTGCTTTCATTAAAAATGCGTAAACTTGACAAAAAGTTTTGAAGAACATTCCACTGTCATAAGTAAAGCACAAGCAGCTGCAGTATTTCTTTCTACATGACAAATCGAATACATTTTTTATAGTCCCTAAAAGGATTCCAACTCATTAGACTTGACAATGCTGAGCAGAATGTCACAACTCATGTATTTTTGTCAAATCTATTATTTACTAGTAAGACTAAATATTACATTGACACATCTCATATATGGAAACAGACATAGATAATGACAAGAGCTCTCTATACAGTTATATTCTATCTGGGTACTCACTGTCCTAGAATAATATGTCCCTTTGTATCTGTTCACTGAGCGAGCAAATACAATTGACTGGCCATTGGCAATTAAAAGTTACAACAATTAATCGAAGTCAGTTTTAAATGCTTGAGCTTTGATTGAAACTGTCAAACGTGAGAAATTATGCAAAATAAATTGAAGGAGATAAATGTTGCCTTAACGAGCAGTTCATTAATATTTATAACAGAGCGTCAACAGCTGTGTGTGAGGCTGACTGAATGTGAGTGTGTGTGTGTGGGGGAGTAGGTGTGTGTAGAAGCTTATGGGACGGGGAGGCACAAAGGGGCCAAATTAATTTAACGCCAAAGCCAACGCCAACGCCATCAGTTGCAACTAACAACAGAGAGAAAAAAACAAGGGCAAAGAAATCAACTGAGGTCAGAGATAAAGAACCGAAAAAACAAACTTTTCTTTTTCTCTTAATTTCAACAGCTAGACAAAATGGCGTTGAGCATACCAATGGCAACAGAATCAGCAAAACCAACAGCAGCAGCAGCAGCAACGGCATAGGCCCACCCTCTGTCTGTCTGTCAGTCTGTCTGTCTAAAGCGGAGCACAATGCGCAATAGTGCACATTCGCACACTTGATTGATTTCATTTTATATACGATTTTCCAATTACAGAAGCGCTAAAATCAGCAGAAAATCAGTTGAGGCACAGTGGATCGAAAAACCTATTACCTATATTCAGCAAAATAAGATGGCAAATTATTGTTAAGATTTCAATGCGAATATATGTATATAACTATATTAATAATGACTGAAATATTTGTACTAACGAGAACTGACTTCCATATTAATTAAAAATACACAAACGAATGGAATCAGAATTCCCATACCAAAATGCTTTTGCCAAAAGTAAATTCGATTTTAATTAGATTAATAAAAATATTAATATAGACTAACTTTAATACATCTTCAGACACACCACGTGACTCCCACTGTACGCGACTCCAAGGGCAATAAGAAACCGTCTATAGTGGCAAATAGAATAATCCAAGTTGAGCTCTGTGTGTGTTCGTTTGGGTCTCCATTCTCCGCAGCACAAAGCATCGAGCCTAATTGCGGAAGCAATGCGCCGTAGAATAAGTTTTCTATAGCCGGCCACAAGCGCTGACCAGAGCAGGTCGTATACGTAATACGGAAATTTAACTTTTATTCGAGGCTTGCCTCGTTCATCTCGCCTTAGATGCTACTGTAAAACAGTATCACAAGGCAATTACCTTGGCGGACACTAAGCACCCAGTGGGCGTGGCAGCTGGGTGCAGGCGTTCTATTAATGAATAAACATGACCAAATGAGTTTGGACAAATGGTCTTTCAGCCACGCTCAGCTAAATGCAAAACTTTCGCAATAAGAAGTCAAAGAAGTTTCACGTGTTTGGCATTGAGAGACGAGCAATTAGTGTCGCTCCACACTGCGCCGCATTGCATGCAGTTGCAACACACCAATTTGAGCGAATCAGAAGCCGTTAAATTGTAAAGCGCATAACAAATTGGTTTTTTGCCAGGTCCAACATGTACTTCAGACAATTCTCAGCATACCCAGACAATCCTTTACGGGCCGCCCAACCCTAGACTCACCCGCACACCCACCTCCACCAGCAGCGTGTAGCACAGTCAAGACAGCCGCAACCAACATCGTAAAATGTTATTGTTGTTGCTGTCGCTGATGTTGCTGGCAGCATTGTTAATGTCATTTAGCTGGAGCTGCTGTTCTAAGCGGAGTCGGTGGCAGTGTCTGCTTGATATATTGTTATCATTTTAACAATGAAAATTATTTCATTACATTGTTTTAAGCGCCTTTTATTATGTTAGACACGGTCTCAGCCTGGGGAAACTATAGCCAAAGGACCTCTCTGTTGGTACTTGCACAAGATTGCGGGGGAATATGTGTCCTCAAGCTCGTCTGAGGATAAGAGTGTTATACATTTTTAATAGCAACAACAATTGATTGGATAGACTTCCAAGCTCGCAGAAATAAATCTATTTTTATTACCTTTTTTCGAGCATTATAAACTTTCACTGACTAAACAAATGCTTGCGAATTGAATAGGTCCCTCTGAAGCGCTTTGAAGTTTCCTGCTGCCATTTGAACACAGAGCCAGGCACAGGTTTGCCTCGATAAATGCGTATTTACTTCATTTGCATTTCAAATGAAATGAAAATCAGACCAGCATAAAAAGAAAAGCAAATCTGGGAACAGATATGGCAGAATGTACATATATATTATAATATTTGGACATCATTAAAAATGATACATTTGGATGAGCGTGAAGCAGCAGGCGGACGTACAGCTCCTCCTGCAGCTCCTGGGTGTCCTGTTGCTTGATGAAGGCACTGCTGTCGTTTCGTCTTTTGCTGGATATGCATAAATGTCAAAGTGATTACAATGCAGGCTTTATGCCGCCCGCCTGCCCATCTGCCCGCCTGTCCGCAATGTGTTTATCGTTTTGTCACATGCCTCAGTGCATTCGACGGCAGTATTCAGCCCAAAAAAGGACAGCGCCAGGCCACGAGCTGCAAGCGCTGTTAGCTTTGAGCTGTTAGCTGTGAGCCGTGAGCTGTGAGTGTGACAACGCCCATTCATTCGCTCACTCGTTGCTTACACGCCCATCGAGCACGACAAGTCGTCTGAACGAGTGGGCGACAGGGCGATTGGGCGACAGGGCGACTGGCGCATCGTCCATCGTCTTGATGTACGCAGGTGTGGTTATTGCCGCTCGGCTGCACTTCGTTTGAAGGCAAGCCGAAAATCTCGACAGCAGATCAAAGCCAAGTTTCTCGTCCAAGCCCTCTTCCAGTGCCCCCCATTCCAGTCTTCTTGCTGCAACTGCTGCTCAAGCTGTCTTCGCCTTTTGCCTGGGCTTCTGTGAGCACTTGGCCACAAATGAAAAGCAACGTTTTAATAATTTTGCCCTCGAAATCCTTTCTGAGCGCATTTCATGCCAAACAATTTCCGGTCACATTTGCGTGACAAGTGCCACCACAGCAAATCCTTCAGGCTCTAGTTTAGTGGTTGCTGATTTGCAAGTTTTGTGGTGCCTTTGACTGTAACTGACTGTTCTGGTCTCTACTTTAATAGCTTGAACTTTAGATTGATAACTTAAAAGCAACTAAGCAACACCACTCATCAGCTTAAAATGACTCTGCTATTTAAGTGTCTCTAAACCTGGCAACTGTTGAAGCAGAAACCGAGTTAGCAGTTCCACTTCCATTGCATACAACTCGCGTCTGAAAACACTTTGAACTTTTTAAATTTTTAATGAATCAGAAATGTTTTCACACTTTGGCTCACCTTTTTTCACGTGCGCCACACATGTGTTGTGTGTGTGAGAATTGGTGAGTGGAAGCGAGTTGTCTGCTATGCTCGTGCCGTATTCTCTATGCTGTGAGTTCATTTCCATTCCCATCCAAAAAAAAAAGTATGTAGAACTCGTCAGCAGCCGTTTAGCCCCTGACTGGGGCTCAACAGAGACCGGAAAATGTAATTGAACTTAATTCGATTTGAAACGAGACAAGTTTTTTGACAGCTGTTCAAGTTCTCAAAGGCCTTCGCAATGCACTTGCTTGAATTACAGCAAGGACGAGGCTTAAAGCGTTGCATTCCACTTAAATATAAAGAAAATAATTAATGAGAACATTGTCGGTATTCCTTCATAATATTTTCATTTATTATGAAGAATAGAGATACTCAGAATTTCTTATAATATTATTGCTCGGATTAGTTGACTGCTTGCGAGTTTTTGGATTGTATATTCAGAGCGATTGTCATTTAAAGATATTTCTTGTTAAGCTTTCACTTATTTAATCTAACTAATTTATGCAGAACTATTGTAAATAATTTATATTATTTTAGAATTGCATTCATGCTAATACTCACAAATACCAAGACCTAAGTAAGAAACAGCAAAATTTTGAATTTTTCATCTATTTAGTTCTCCTCTTTTTGTCCGTTTAGTTTATAATCTTTAAATTTCAGTTTATTAATCTTTAAATTTGCCACGGAGTGGGCAGCTGGATATAATCAAGCCGAGGATTTCCTACTAGTTACTCTTACCTACAAGTACACAATATCTATAGGTGGCACACATACCTAACCAAGTGCCGACCGTTAAGAGTACAATTCGTGGTCAATTTTTGCGCATATGTTGCCATGAAGTGAGCTCGAGTGGAGCAGCTTGTGATTCACACACCAACACACACAATAGCAGCACAAATTTTCCATTTGCCATGAAAAGCACTTGAGAAAGCAGCTGAAAAAAGTCAAGAAAAGAAACGACTTTGAGAAAAGTCGAATTCTAAATACCCTTTAGAAGAGATTGAAATTGTATTAATATATTTTAACTGCTATATATTATTAATGCCATACTCACATTAATACGTACATGAGGTACGGAGTCTGATTTGGCATATGGTCGAACTATTAACTGACGAATTTATGGCATGTTTTTTCTGAAAACTGAGTTATTCCAACTAATCAATGTTACGAATCTTGCTTAAAAATGATAGGATAGGTACCCATGGTATGAAAAGTTTCTCAACTGTGCTCCCTAAGGCAATTTGTGTGTTGTTGTGTGGTCGAACAAGTTTATTTTTCCAGCAGTCAGCCACACAACTGCCACAGAGTTGGGCGAAACTCAACAAATAATATGTGGAGAGTGTATGAAATATGATTTTGAAATTACTGCAACTTGATTGCATTGCAATGCAATGCTTTGCAATTGCGAAAGGATTTTAATTGGTCTAGCTGCGAGTAAATGGGATAAGAAATCTAATTTGAAGCAGCCCTCATGAAACTAATACAACAGCAGCCACTGCCACTGCCACTGCCACTGCTGCTCAGCTCTGTCTAAGAACATTTTCCAATTCATCGACGAAGCTTTACTCAAACACACAATAACCATAAATCTTTCGGCGTTGCACTTAACTTGAGCCGAAGTGCATATAATTTTCATTTAAATACCTATAGAACTTGCTGCTCCTGAGCTCCTTTGTCTCCCTTGTCTGGCCTGCCAAAGAAACTAAAATAAATATAAGGACGTAGCCAAAAATGTCCTTGCTGCCGTGCTGCCAACGACAACGACAACGACAACGTGACTAGCTGAAAGCCTGAGCAATATTTTTGCATTTTGCAATATTTTTGAGAGCGTTGTTAATTTCATGGCTGAATGGTTAGTGTTTTCAGCGATTTCCTTTCTTGAAAGGTGCCATGGCAGCTAGATTACGACAGCGTTTGGCATGCAATATTCTTCTTTGTATGCTTATATTCATTTACCAGGTGAAACGAGTATATAGGTTTTGTATTAATCTAGACATCCCACATGTGATAACAGTATTCTTGACCTCATATATTGACTTGCCAAAAACTATATTCCTACGCGCCTTGAGGTCTTTGTCAGCCACAGTTTGGAAGCTAAATAAACAATATTTTCTCATATTTAGAGCTAAATTGTCATATTTGTTGTGAAACTCATCCACCTTCTCGCCCAGTGGGGCTGGATAAATGAATTTTTATTGATTTTAGTTAAGTTAAATTATTTTTGTACCCTGAACAAGTAAATTTGTGGCTGGTCAATGTTCCTCTTGGTTTTTATTTTGAGTGTCTATGCAAACAACAAATGCAATTAAATTTGCGCATAACTTTGCATTTCTAATCGGTTTGCAGAACTTTTTTAATCACTTCCACACCTATTTGAAGCTATGCAGAGAGCTGATAATAAGCTCTGCTTAAATTAAAAACTTTTCACCCTCCGAAACTTATTTTCATCTTTTATTATTCCTGGCTGCTTTCCACTTGATGCTGCAATTTCCCAACGCTAATTGCAATAAATTTGCGTTAATAAACTGAAACTGTGGCAAATTGCCAGCAGCAATTGCCAAATGGAACAGCTTCGGACAGCCGGCAACTTCGGCTCATGATACCCTTGCAAAGCGAAGGATCGTCTGTTGTTCAAAGTTTTACTTTTAAATATTATGCTTGAACGGAATTCATTTAAATTAATAACTTAACTTTTTTTAACTCGATGATCTGCGGGAGAAGCAGCTCTGTCGGACATATAAGACATTCCTTCAAAATTGACTCTAGTTGTGTGCACTGTTGAAGAAAATAGTATAAAGACCATGAAGAGTATAAATACTTAACTTGGGCGACAAGCCTAGCATCTGCCTGATTATCTATCTATTTGTACTTCTCTTTTTTGTGCCCTAACGCATGAGCAACTCTGTGTGGCAGGCCGTATCAGGCATAGCAGAATCCTTAGAACATTTATAATCCCTGCCATGGCTGTCCTTTCGTCACACAGAAAATGTCAGTCTTCTTCAGCAAATTAAGCATTTTTAATCTTCACGGACGACTTCATTGAATACATCTAAAAATCAAAAATTTTTTGTACTTACTTCAGACCTTTTGTTTCTTATAAATAATATCAAAACTATTTTAAGCATAAATATCAATATTAAATGGTAAATCAATGTTAAATGAATTTCTTTTAGAGTATTTGATATAATTTATGTCAGAGTTCAGAGAACTTACTTATTATTAGTGCTTAATTTTCGTTCACTATTAAGCTTATTTAAGTAAGTGATATTTGTATGTACTTAAAATATATATAAATCAAAGGTAACAGGTAAGTATTACGATGTAAATATTAAGTGGACTTTAACAAATTATAAACCTTCTGTTTCTATGGCTCAATTATATTAATTGCAGCTCTTGAGCTGTCGGCTTCGACCACGCCCACAGCAATTAGCATGAACAACTAGTTGGTTGACTTTTTCGTCGACGCTTTCAGAGTGATTAAAATCGCACAATGGACATCCCCAGCCCCAGAGCCAACCGAACCCCAGCCGCAGCAACACAAGATGACCAGCGCGATGGCTCCTTCCTTCTGTTTTTGGTTTCTTCCGGCTAAACCACACAATGCCTCACATTTGCATACACTTTGAACTATTTCAGCAGCTTCGCATGGAGGCCCTTTCCAGCCTTAGGTAGCAGCCAGTTACCCGTTGACTCGACAATTTTGCGAAATTAACCTCAGACTCGACAGCGGCCTCAGGTCACGTTGCAATTTGCCAGTGTTCACGTAAGCCACTTGGGTCAACGTCAACCCACTGCCCGCATCATTTGTCAGTGGATGGGGCTGCTGACGTTGCGGCATTGGCATAAATTTAAAGCGACTCGAAGGAAGAAGAGTGCGAGCTCCGACAATAGCCACAACTGTAGCGTCGTCAGCTAACTAATGATGCCCTAAATTGAATCTAATCATCATTAACAATTACACAGCAGCGGCACTGGCTCGTGTGATTACCCCCAGTCAGAGTAGCTCACTCGTCCATTAAGTCTAATCATATGCAAATAATTAAGCGCACTGACACAGCCAGCACGGACCAGACACCCGGTCAGCCAATGAAATATTTCCCTTAGGTCCCATCGTGCAGTTGTCGCCAATACTTTTGTGCTCTCTGCTCCCAGCTCCCAGCTCCCAGCTACCAGCTCACACTGCTCTCTGGCCTCCTGCATTAACATCAATGTGCGTGCCAGATAGACAGGCAGTCTGACTATATGCTACTGTCCAGCTCTCCTGCCCTGGTCTCCTGCTACATGTGAATTATCGTCGTCAACGCTGTCGAGTGCCTGCTGATAATGCACACACTCGGTTCATAGGTGGCTAATAAATTTGAATATTAA